AACAAATTTTTTTTTTTAAGATTGGGACCTGAGCTAACAACTATTGCCAATCTTTTTTATTCTGCTTTATCTCCCCAAATTGTCCCCGTACATAGTTGTGTTTCTTAGTTGCAGGTCCTTCTAGTTGTGGCATGTGGGACGCCGCCTCAGCATGGCCTGACGAGCGGTGCCACGTACATACCCAGGATCCGAATCGGTGAAACCCTGGGCCGCTGAAGTGGAGCGCGTGAACTTAACCACTCGGCCTCGGGGCCGGCCCCCTAATTAAACAAATCTAAAAACTGACACTGGATTCCGTTACTGGGAAACATTTAAGAATGCTGGAGCAACTTGGGGATATGAATCTACTCTGTCAACTGTAAATTTTACAACATCTAAATATAGATCAATTTTATGACAAACTATAAATTTTATGACATCTAAATATAGATTTCCGATAACACGGACCTCCTGAATTGAGATGTGTTGTAACTGTAAAACACACGCGGGATATGAAGGCTTCGAATGAACAGGTAAAATATCCCGTTCATAATCTTTATGTTGATTCCATGTCAGAATGACAATATTTTGATGTACCAGGTTAAGTAAATCATATTTTTAAATTAATTTCATCTATTTCTTTTTGCTTTTTTTAATGTGGCTATTAGAAAATGTATAATTACATATGTGGCTCACGTTATATTTCTATCGGGCAGTGCTGGTCTAGAATATTTTGGGTTGTTTTCTTTCCCCCACTTGTGCCATCAGATATTCAAAAGCAGAAGTCGTCAAAAGAAACCACTCGAAGGATCTTGCTAAGATCACAAATTCCGGAAGTAAACGAGCTGACCCTGTCAGACTGCAGGTGGGGTGGCTGGTGAACGACCCCTGCCCATCCAGAGGGAAGCTGTCCCTGGATGCCACGGCCGGGGAAGAGCCAGCTCACTTGGGCAACAGCCGATTTCTCACCCCAAAGTCCAGCCCCTGAGGGCAGTCCAGGCCTGCTTTGGTCAGACACACCCGTCCGGAAAGGCAGGCTCTTGGAGCCACACAGAAGGCCTGAGCCTGGCCCTGGGAGGGTCCAAGAACCATCACACAGAAGGAAACACCAAAAAGTAGGTGCACCCATCAACCCTGTGTCTCAGAACAACGCAGCTTCTCCCTTCCACACTTTCATACATGCTGTTCCTCTACTGAGACTGCCCTTCCTTCTCTTATCCCTCTGGAGAATTCCTACGCATCCTTCAAGATCCAGTGCAAATGTTCCTTGCTCTGAAGCCTTTCCTGACCAGGTGATGTTTCCACATCACGGCCTCGGGCTTCTGGCCTAGTCTCTTCTTACCACTTCCTTGTCAACCTCAACGCCTCTACTCTTGCCCCCTCAAAGCTGATTTCTTTCTAAAACACAGAATACGTGTCTCTCTCCTATGGAAACTGCCACTAGGTCCCCATTACCTAAAACCCTAGTTCTCAAACTTTACACAAGCATCAGAGTCACCTAGAAGACGCCTTAACAACAGATTGCTGGGGGGCCAGCCTGGTGGCGCAGCAGTTAAGTACACACATTTCACTTCAGCGGCCCAGGGTTTGCCAGTTCAGATCCCGGGTATGGACATGGCACTGCTCACCAAGTCATGCTGTGGTAGCCGTCCCACATACAAAGTGAAGGAAGATGGGCATGGGTGTTAGCTCAGGGCCAGTCTTCCTCAGCAGAGGAGGATCGGCAGTAATTAGCTCAGGGCTGATCTTCCTCAAAAAAAAGATTGCTGGGCCCCACCCAAGAGTTTCTGAGTCAGCAGGTCTGGGCAGGGGCCTGATACTCTGCATTTCTAACAGCGTCCCAGGGGGTGCTGCTACTGGCCCAAGGGGTGTACCTTGAGAACCACTGATCTGAAAGATTCAGCACAAACTCTTCAGCTTGGCGTCTGAGGCCCTCCACGACAGCCGCCAGCACTTCACTGCCCTCACCTCTCACCACGCGCAGCCCCAGCCTGGTTCCCCCTGCTCCAAACACATCACAGCTTGCGCACCTCCACACCATTGCCACGCTGTCCCTTTTGCTTGAAACCCTCTGTCCCTTTTGATCCACCCGGTTCCAGTGTCACCTTCCTGGATTTCACAATGTCTAAAACACAAATCCTCAAAAATGAGGAGACAGCACCTTCCAGGGTCTACAAAGTAACAAATGCAGGCTGTGGGGTAGCCACAAGAGAGGCGGGTGAGGACTGGGTTTGGCCATAACAGCAGCCCTGGATAAGAAAGTACCAGCTTCAAGTGGCAACTTTGAGACAGAAAATTCTGGTATCTCTATTTAAACAACCTCGTGACGGTCACGGTCCAGTTATGAAGTGTCCTTTGTCTCTATCTGGTTTCCAGCTCTGCCACTTTCTAGCTGTGTGGCCTGGGGGGAACTTAGCATCTTTTGTGTCTCATTTTCATCTGTAAGATGGGGATAAAGCAACGACCACATAGAACAAAGATTAAATGACAAACGCAAGGAATACTCTCAGCCACAGGCCTAGCACACAGTAAGCCCTTAATAAACATTGGCTGTTGTCGGTATTATCTTTGGACCTGGGAAAGTAATGAACTTGGTACCTAGCCATAATCGACAATGGGAACAGGCACACAAAAGATGCTTTCTTCAGGAGTACATAATCGGCGGTCCAATAAAGGTTGCACGGATGGAGGGGAGGACGGATGGACAGACAAACGGATGGGTGGGTGTGTAGATGGGAAATTCCTTTGTATAACATCAAGGGTAGTTCCGCGACGCCTGTCTGAAAATACTTAAAAATCTTAAAAATTCTCAGGCAAGAACACAAAAATTCAAAGATGTCCATCACAAAGTTGTCTATAACAGCAAAAAGAAAAAAAAAAAGAGGCAGCCTAAATGCCCAGCAGTAGTGGTGGCACAGTCAGAAGACGGAAGTTGATGGAACAACGAAAATGAAGACGCAGGTGGTTCCCTACTGACCTGGAAAGTTGTTCTTAATAAATCTTAAGAAAAAGAGCAGAAGGTAAAGGAACAGCTATGGTACAAATTCATCTTTTTAAAAAAACTGTGGGTGTGGGTGTGTGTCTATACAGAAAAGTCTAGAAAATATATATTCCAAATGTTGCCAGTGGTTATCTCTGATGTAAAAATTTGGATGGTATTAATCTTTTTTTTTTTTTTGCTTTTCTGTATACTCTCATTTTTCTCTGATGACCATATACATAAAATATTTAATTTCTTAAAAGAAGAAAAAACATTTTAAAAAGCAGCTCCATGAAACAGGACAGAGGACATGTACAGGCTCAGATTCATCGGTCTCAGCTGTGTGACCATGAGCAAGGGGCGTGCCTTCTCTGTGCCTCTGTTCCCTCCTCTGGAAAGGGGTGACCAGTCTCCCTGCCCTGCTCACCTCCCACGGTGCCTGGAGACAGTAGGTGAGGAACGGCTTTGAAATCTGCAGCCACAGCCAGGAGGCAGTGGTTTTATTTTCCCTAATGACATCCAGGAGGCTCCCCAAGGAGATGCCTCAACAGGCAAAGGAAAGCCGGCCTTTGTCAGGCGTCGGCGGCGGGGAGCCAGTTGAAGTGGACAGAGCTCTGGGCAGGGCTGGGGGCCAAGCTCTTACCCCCTCAGACACTGGCTTCCTTCATTTTCTTGAAGTGAGAGGGATAAACTTCGACAGTGGTTTCTAAACGCTCCTTTGCTTTCCTTAAACAGCAGGGTCCTTTTCTCAAAGGACACAGATTTCCCTGTTAAGCGTCAGTAGTTCTGTTCCTAAAAATCAGGTATTCTGTGCAAAAAAAAAAAAAAAAAAAGCCAGGTACCAGTCTATTTCCCATTATTTCAAGCGGGAAAAATTGTAAAGCATGACATGGCAACTTCAAATTCCCCACTAATTTCCTAAAATGTAACTAAAACATAGTAACACTGTCTATACATAAGTGAACCGTAGTGACAGAAGGAAAATGCCTGAAACATCCCCTCCTCAACCAAATACTTACCAACAGCTCTTAACAGCCCTGCTGTGCGCAGTCCCAGTAGCCTGGGCGGCTCTTGGCTCCAGCGCCATCCGAGCGGCCCTGCCGATGCCCAACCTTTGCAAAATAGCTACATGGGATTCTGATAGCCTTCCGGTTGCATCTAGAATTTACTTGATACTTTTCCTGCCCATTATTTTGTTACAAATGTTGTTCTGAGTTTTAGGGACATAAATATGATGTTTTACATATAAAACATTGGCTGAAAAATAGTGTGGTGAGACACGGACCTTCTGGGAAGTCTGGGTTTTATAAACTCAGAGGCATTAACGCTGGGAGAACGTGCGTGGGGAGATCCTGCGCAGGGCAAGCTTGTCCTATGAACACCAGGGGCACTCCGGAATCCTCTAGAGTCAAGGGGGGTGGTGCTGAGTTTGGAAGGTGGGGCTGGAAGCTGCATCTGCAGCGGGCTCATGAAAATACGAGGCTGCTGCTGGAGAATGCAGGGCTGGTAAAGGGCCGCCTTCTTTCGTGCCGCCATGGAAGGGGATCGCCAAGCAGCAGCCGCAGCAGCCGCAGCAGTGGCAGTAACGCTGGGGCCACCACAGATAATAAAGTAGCCACCACTCACCGAGCCCTCACGTGCCAGGCACTCTTCCAGGCACCTGTCATGATTAACTCATTTAATCCCCATCACAACTCCACAAGCTAGGCACTGTTATCATCCCCACCTTACAGACGGGGAAACTGAGACACGGAGGGGTGAAGAACCTGCCTGGAGTTATCCAGCCTCTAAGTGGCAGAGCCGGGATTCAAGGCGAGGCAGGAGAGCTGTAGTTTCTTCCAGCTCCAAACCCCAGCCCCCAGCCCAAAAGTGGGCAGGCTCTGCAGAAAGGGATGACAGGGGACCCGGAGCACCGCCCCCCCCCCCCCCACTTCACGTTCTCTTAACCCCGGCCTTTGCCCTCAAAGTAGACACTGAGAAAGAGCCGGGGACCTCAGGACCAGGCCGTGGGGGCCGAGGGCAGGTGGTGGGGCGCGCTTACCCACAGCTTCCCGTCGTAAAAGTAGGCCCCCAGGAGCTTCACGATGTAGGGGTGGTCGCAGGTGGCCAAGATCTCGATCTCCACGATGTAGTCCTCCAGCTCCTCCTCACTCTTGGTCTCGATGACCTTGGCGGCGGCCAGGGCGCCGGTCTCCTTGTTCTTGGCCTGCAAAGTGGAGACACAGAAAGTCAGCAAGGCGGGCTCGGCAGGAAGCTGAGGCCTGCAAGGCAGCTCAGAGGCCGGATGTCCAGACGGGGACTGGGAGGCTGAAGCAGGAGATACGCTCTTGACAATGGCCAGTGCTGCCCATTGTGTCAGCACGGAGGGGCACGCATGAGAAGCAGTGTTCTGTGCTCAAGAATAGTAATTTTTGAAAGTACAACACATTCATACTATGGGATAAAGAAAAATACAAGGATGGCATGGTGCTACAAACACCAACATGGGAAGCGTGTTGGGTTGTTCAGTAAAAGATCCAAGTCACCCAACAATAAAAGTGGTATGATACTTTTATATAAAAAACGGAGAACTATGCTTTCATAAACCCTCACGTATGTACATGCACGGAAAACGCTGGAAAGATACTGCCTGACAGCAGGCTGGGGGGAGCCTGAAATGGGGAGAGTGTCAAAAGGCATCTTCATTCTCTCTCTGTTATTTAGAAACGTTACTAGGAATGTTTCGTGCACTTATTTGCATCATTTCACATAGATTAAAAGCAAAACGAAAAAGCTATTTAAGTCAGTGCCCACTAATTACAGTGGAAGTGCTTCCTCGACGCATTTCCCTGGGCGGAATGACTGTTTCTTATTTGACGAAAAAGAGTGAGAGAATTTTGCACCCACGAGGACAGCTATAACTTTTTAAAAACGGAAAATAAGTGTTGGTGAGGATGTGGAAAAATTGGAATCTTTGTGCCCTGCTGGTGGGAATGCAAAATGGGGCAGCCGCAGTGGAAAAGAGTTTGGCTGTTTCTCAAAAGGTTTAAACACAGAACTACCACACGGCCCAGCAGCAGCCTCCCAGGGACACACGCAGAAGAACTGAGAGCAGGGATGCGCACAGGCGTCTGGACACCCACGTTCACAGCAGCAGACCCACAGGAGCCCCAAGGAGGAAATAAGCAACTGTCCAGGAGCCGATGAAGGAATAAACAAAATGTGGTACACACGATCAAGGGACATCATTCAGCCTTAAAAAGGAAGGACATTCTGACACCCGCCACAACACGGATCAACCTTGGGGACATTACGCTAAGTGAAATAACCCAGACACAAAAGGACAAATATTGCTTGATTCCACTTAGATGAGGTTCCCGGAGTCGTCAGACTCACAGAGGCAGAAAGGAGAGCAGAGGTCCCAGGGGCTGGTGGCCGGGGGCGGGGGGGGGCGGGTAAGGAGTTAGTGTTCAATGAGGACAGTTTCTGTTCGGGATGACGAAAAAGTTCTGAGATGGAGGGTGGGGACGCTTGCATAACACTCTGAATGCACTTACTGCCACGGAATTGCACACTTAGAAATGCTAAAATGGTCAATTTTATGTTATGTATATTTCACCACAATTTTTAAAACTGAGAGCGACAGAGAAATGACCATATAAGTCGCACAAGCAATTCCCCCACGGTGAGCTGGTGTCCAGGAAGACGGAGCAGAGCCTGTGGCTCCCCCAGAGGGACGGCTGCTGGGAGTGCTCACCCCGCGCTGCCCGGGGCCCCGGTGTGCAGAGCCCACTCCCCGGCAACATGCGCCCGACAAGAGAGCAGCAGCCCAGCGGAAAGCACAGGAAGATGGCTGCACTGGGCTCCCCGAGCAGCCATGATGGTTCCCATCGTGGGGCCTTCCTGAGGACAGAGTGACAAGCCACTCCTGCCTTACAGGACGACTCTGCACCCTGATCCACTGGGAACACTGATGGCCGAGTTGCTCCTGCGTGCCTGGTGCCCAAGGATGACAATGGGCATTCACGTCACCTCCCGCGACACCATAGTAGCCGGCACCTCAGCTGCACCTCTGCAGCTCCTCACTCCACAGGCTCAGAGAGGGGACTAGGGTAGTGGCACCAGAATCTGAATCTTGGTCCTTGACCTTCTAAGCTTCTGTGCACTTTCCACCACTGGACAAGGTCTCCCGGTCACCTCCAGGACGCAGGAGCCTCTGAGACCAGAGGCCCACGGATCGCTACGAGCACTCCCGGGCCAGGCCTGCACAGGCGCCTGCAATGCAGACAGGGCCACGGCCCCGGCCTCAGGGGTCCAGGTCCAGCTGGAGACCCAGCCCTCTGTGCCAGGGACAGTGTGCCTGTGAGGCAGGGTGGGACCTGGGAGGGCGCGCCAACCCCCGCCAGGGAAACTCTGCAAGGGAGGGATGCCAACAGGCAACTTTACGCTCAATTGTAAATTTATTCTCAGTTTAGGTAAATGCTTCTAACGGAGCCACAAAGTCCCCAGGGCCCCAGGCAGTGAGAAAGCAATGGTTTCACAGTCACCAAGGGCCCGCTCCGCAGGGGCCAGCGGTCCACGTGGCTCACACATCTCCGCGGCCGCCCTGCGATGGGGTGCTATTATTTTCTCGTGTGCTGATGAGGAGCGACTTAGGCGGCGGCTGACCTGGAGCCCAGCAGCCTCATGGCGCCACATTCTCCTCAATGCCAGTCTCTCCGAGTGAGTCTGTGAAACCGTCCACGTCGGGCCACGCACCAGCTTCAGGCACAGAACTGCACGTGGGGCCATTCCCGGGCTGGTCCTCGCGCTGAAGCCCCCAGCTCCCTCGGCCGACGTGGGGGTCCTCGCCCCACGCCACCTTCTGAGAGCTGGTTGAGAACGCCTCAGCAACGCGTCAGGTAAGCAAGGGGGCTCCTGCTCCCTCGCTGTCCCGCTCTCTCTCTCACACTCACTCACTCACACACACACACCCTTAACTGATTCTGCACCCGCCCTTTCGTTTCCCGGCACGCTGACCTCTCCTGCCCTGGAGGCCCGTCGAAGCATCCTTCTTTCCGCGTCGAACAACACTCACGCTCCTCTGCGCCCTCCCAGGACAGGTCAAGGCCGCTCCGCTCCTTCTCAGAGAGGAAGGAGGGCTGGGGGGCGACAGAGCGGGCCCCAGGCTCCCCAGCTCCAGCCCGCGCAGCGCTGGGAGGGCAGCGGGGCAAAGGGCGCCCCCCAATTGTCCACCCCTCACTCCTGAGAGATGGTGGAGGAGGAGCAGGTTGCCTCTTCCTGGGCTTCCTTAAGAGGGATGCTTCCTCCTGAAGGTGCGGGAGGCCCCGGCGGGGACCGTCTCCATGAGCGCACAAAACCCGCCTGGCCGCCACGCTGAAAGGCAGCGCTGACCACAGGCCGGGCCTCTGGCCAGGCCCCGGTGTCAACGCTGAGGAACACCTGCTGCCCAGCACCTCGCCTGGACTTCACCGAGACCAGTGCCGGCCAGAAAGGGGTGAGCAGCAATCGTGGCGCACAAAGTGACTTGGCCAAAATTAAACTCTTTCAAGGCCCGGCTGAGGCAGCAATCCATCACCTCGAGGCCACAGAGGACCTAATAACAGCTGATGATAAAAACAGCTGAGACTGCCCAAGCCTCGCTGTGTGCCAGGACAGGCCTTAAAGGGAATTTCTCATTTCATCCTCCACCCAGCCCTTGCAGATAAATATTAGCATTCCCCATTTACAGACGAGGAAACAGATTCAGAGAGGCATAGCGATTTGCCTCAGGTCACATAGCAAGTGGGGTGAAGGCTGGATCCAAACACAAGCCTGCATGGCTGAAAGAGCCTGAGCCCAGAGGCCCTTCTTGGCAAGTGACCAGTATCCCCTGCTCTCCCTCCCTTTGCTAAAGATAATGAAAAACCACAGCCAGTAGCATGCGTGGAACTACAAAAATCTAATCTGCCCACAAGCCATTAAGGCAGGTGGCAGCCATCACGCCCATTTCCCAGATTAGCAGCCTGAGGCTCACAGAGGGATCAGGACCCCCAGGACTGAGAGCTTGGTGGTGTCCTGACTCCCAGTCCAGTGCTCTCTTCACTACAGGAGGCTGCCAGCCATCAGCTGATTCCCCGCTCCCTCGTTCAGCCTGACGTACAGAGCACATGCCACACTCAAGGCACTCTGCTGGCCAACGAGAGGCTTCTGCCTGGAGGGAGGGTTGCTGGGTAGCAGTCACTGTCCTCTGTAACGTCACTCACCAGCCCTGACCGTTCCTTTCTAGCCCACCCTCATTCCCAGCCCCCAGAACACAACGGAGCGGATCCCACCGCCAGCTCAGGGAGCGGGTGCGGGACTTGCCCTGGTCAATCAGAACACAGAGATCAGCTCAGGGACAGGAAAGCCATCGAGGTAGCCAAGGAAACACAGCCTCGGAACAACCGCCCTGACTCCGAGTCTACCCCAAGCCCTATGTACTGCCCGGAGCGGCTGCGCCACGCTGCCCCCAAGGTGAGCCTGGACACGAAACTAGCCGAGCCTAGAAAGGAAGCAGCAGAGGCCAGAGGGCGCGCGGGAGGCCACTGTTTGATCCCCTCAATCTTTATACCAGGGAGCTACTACAATTAAGAGCCTCATTTTATATACAAGAAAACTGATGCTCAGAGAGGTGAAGTCACTTGCCCGAGCTCACACAGCAGGTAAATAACAGGGCTGAGATAACAGGTAAATTCAGGCCTATGTGACTTCCAAGTTCACGTTCCCAACCGCTTTGCCACAGGTGCCTGTAAATTCTGCCCAGGTCTTGTCTGGGCCTCAGTTTTTCCCTCTTACAGTAGGAGGATGGGGAAATGATACCATGCTCTCTCCTTGGTCTGATGTGAGGGCACCTTGGGGAGTGGGTGGCCTTGGAAAGCTAAGGGTAGTGGTGGGAGTGGACAGGCAAGGAGTTGCATAAAGAACAAGTGACTGTCTGTGGCCTCTGACGTCCGTCTCCCCCACCGGCTGAGGCAAGGCCGGGACCAGCGAAGGACAGGGGCGCCCCGCCCAGCCCTCCATGCTGGCCGGCAGGGACGGACGCCTCAGCCCACACCCGGGGGCAGACACAGTGGCCGCTGTGTTCTCCGGCCCAGGCACCTCTGCAGGAACAATCCTCCCCCTTGTGCGGCGGGGGCCCAGCCTGGAGGAGGGGGGACGACCGCCCAGCCCGGAGCCCTGCCCCACCCAGGGGGCCCAGCCAGCGTG